CATAGTAGGAAGATTTGTTTTCAATACTTTTTTTAAGAAAATTCATTTGAGATAATACTAGCTTTGTCCCACCAACACTGCATAGCACCTGTTTTTGTAATACTCGACTTTTTCTTAGGTAAGCTCTCCACTTAAGCATATCAGGAAGAAGATTAATACTGTGAGATGTTCGAGACGTTGTTTTGAGATTCATGTTTTTGAAAGCTGTAGCTCGGATCTAGATAAAACAGAAGTAACATTAAAACTTAATACTATGATCAATTGAGAACAGAGATTCTAATATTTCATCATTTAATAGTTGCAATGTCGAAACCCGTTGAAATCTACTCCTTTTTTATATGGTGAATCTACATGTTCCTTTTAGTTAAATGAATATGTTTCGAAAACTGAGTCAACAGCGGCTGTCGCATTCGATGAAAATTCTGATTTAAAAGTTTGTGGTCCATGTAAAGAATTTAATGCGAATATTGAAGATGCTATGGATTCTCAATCACATAGGAGATGTCGTTCAACTCAATATTCGATTAAAGATATTCCTGTTAAAAAAGGTTGTGTTTTATGTGGTGAACTATTTGTAAAAGATGATGAGATATTAATATGCAAAACAGCTCAATGTCTAAATACGGCTCACGTACAGTGTTTAGGAATTGTAGACGTCAGAGCAAAAGCATTAGAATGTTTGTCGTATCGATGTAGTTTACATCTTGTGTAGCCATGGCAACGGATGTAAAACTGAATTTTATTCGTCAGCTTCTATTGTCTTTCATTCGACATAATTTTCTGTTTATTTCTTCATAACAGACTAAATTTCTGCTTTACTTTTGTTCTTAATTAAGAAATAAAATAAAGACAATGAACTAACCTTTTTATACTGATCTAGATTACGATTAACAATTAACCATATATCGTCAGTTGGAATACCATTTGGTAATAAATGTTTTATATTTTTGTTTACATTTTCTAATAGAAAATCGAGTCCTTCTGCTGACTGAGAATTTCCAGTGGTGGTAAATGTTTCTGTAGATTGAAAATATTGTTTTAACGCTGCGGGAGCTATCGTACGTAAAATATGATCATTAGCCATGAGAAATTGATACTTTGATGATTAGATGGATAGAAAAGAAGGTCGACGATTGATTTTGTTTCTGTTAGAAATGCTGAATGATTTTTCCTTATAGCTGTATGAAAAGAAAACAGACCAAATAATAAAATAAATGTTATTGTGAATAAAAACGGATCGTTTTTGATGCAGTTGTTGTTCATTTTATAAAATTAGAATAATGTTTTGGTTGATGTTTAGAAGATTTTAAATATTCATGTATTATCTCTAGACTATTTCCATATAATGCAACAAGTAAAATTTCCATTGTTTTATGATGATCAGAGCATCTTCGGACATATTGCGTTGCTTTTTCTGTTTTGAATTGTAGACATTGGGCGAGATCTGTGCCAAATATTTCCCAAATAAAATCCATGAAGCATTGGCATGCATTCATCTCAATGTGCCCTAATCCTGGTCTGATTAGTAGATTTTTGAGTGACATGTAATGAAATTTATTATCCAGAATAGTTGAAGACTTATGGATAGATTTGTAATGTTGTTGAAGTTGTTTGAAGGAAAAAAATTCATCATCACACACATCACAGAGATAATTTCTATTCATCAACTTCCAACCAAGACAATACGGAATTCCGTCTACCACGACTGACATCCATTTTCTCTCATAATCGGGATTACTGTCCGAATGAAGATGAGAATTTCGTAAATTAAATAAAATATCTTTAACAGCATTTAAGGAAGACGGATTAACGAATTCTGGTTCTCCAACTATGATATTCGATTTTTCTTTAGGACAATATGACGGTATTTGATCAAATGTCTTCGATAGATTT